ACGAATGCAATGTTGTTCTACATGAATTAATAAAAGAGGGAAGGCCTATTAATTCTACTGCGATTCAAGCTAGATTATGCCAAAAAGAGAAGCATTGGGTGTGGATAGAATTGTCAAAAAAGGTGGTGATTCGGATAACAAAGTTAATTTGGCTATTGAAAAGACCGAATCAAGTATGCCGAATCTTTTCTAGAAAAACAGGACGACAAGGTGTTGGGGAGCTATTCGAAAGAGGAACAATATATCGTTCAAGTAACACAACCATCATGCTCTCCCAACGTGTTTGAAGAGGTATGTCTAGCAAGTGATTTACCTATCTTCCAATTTGGTCGCAACTTTATTGTTGATGCTTCTATAAGAAAAATTCTCATAAGTAATTCTGAAAGACCAATGAAGAAGGGAAATTTACTTGTTAGCAATAAAACTATTATAGAGCATATCAGTCAACCTATTGTGCCATTTATAAAGACCGATAGTGACCTATTATTGCAGCCAAAGTTTTCCCCATTGCTTTATCAAAATTGCATATATAATTGGGTAGCTTTGCTTGTTTCATACTTGGCTTGCACTTGGTCTCAATTGAGACATGTGTATTCTAACTATTTTCATTTCAGAAATTTAAAGCCAAGGTCAAGTTCTTTTGAGAAATCCGATGCTAATATAATATCTTATCCAAATACATTGGAGATAGGATGCAAAACACAATTCATAGCCGAATGGGGATATTCCAAATTTGAACCATTCATTTGCTTAACTACAAAGCCGTTTGCACACCAAGATTGGCTGGAAAACAAGAAGTATACCTTCAATTCAAGCATGGGTGATCAAATATTTGATTTGTTGCTGAAAAATAATTACATTAGAGTTCTTAATCACCATACGAAGACATCAATCCAAGGGAGAATGTATTGCAAGTTGCATGATTCGTCCAAGCATAATTTTGAGGATTGCAACATGTTTCGTCGAATAGTTAAATCGGCCATTGATAAAGGACGATTAAAATTTGTTGAAACACCAAGGGATGAGCAGTCTATTCCGATTGGTCCTAGTGGAAAAATGTTTTTGAATCGACTGCTTCAAGACGATTCCTTTAAAGATGAGAAGGTAAAAACTACAGGTGATGGGATCAAGCTTTCAAGTAAAGAAATTGTTCAAGAGCACAACGAAAATATTCTTGAAGGAATGAGTTCTATCGAAGATACAATGAAGACGCCAAGGACTGGAGGGCAACAAAGCAATCCAAAGATCGATGCAAGCAAAACAAAAGGAGATAAATGCCGCAATAAGCACAAGCACAAGAAATCCAAGGTCACTTTTGCACAGTTATTAGATAAATATCGAAAGAAAAGTGAAGAGAATGGTGCTCATCGACCGAGTAATGCAAAAGCATCAAGATCACCCCCTAGGCGCAAATCCAAGGATCAATATTGGCAAGAAGAGAATTTTAATGCAACGTGTTTATATCCTTATTTTGGGTCGCCAATGCCAATGCCGTGGATGCCTCCCTATGCTCATGTAGATCGATATTCATCATGGGATAGGTATGATACAATAGCACATTCTCCATCATATTTTAGACCATCTCACCATTATTATGCAGCTTCAAGAAGATCAACGTTCAGTGAGCTGTCATATGTTCAAGACCGTTTCAATAAGAAAGAATCGGTCCGGAGCTCAAGAAAGAAGAAAGAGGTGATCAAACAAGTATATCGAGTTAAAAAAGATGGTCGCAAGAGTGCCAATTCAGATTTGATCTTAAATGATAAAGAGTCAATTAAAGTGTTAACATTGGCTACTAAAGGCAATGAGATGAAGCAATCAATTGTCAAGAATCAAAGTGCCAAATCTGAAGAAAAGAAGTTGAAAGTGCACAAGGTAAAACAAGAATTGTCATTACTTCAAACAAAATCACAGTCGGGGTGCTCACTCGGCTTATCGTATTGGCAAAAGAAGAAATTACAAAAACTTAGTGCACACGAGCTCAAAAAGAGAAACATGGCATGGGTTCCCAAAGGAAATAATCAAAACGAGAGTGATGTGCAATGTTCCATTGCAAGAAGTGCGACAAAGGTAAAGAAGGAAAAGAGTGAAAATTATGAACGACCAAGCCAAAGGTTTCAACATCTTCGGTGCACACATTATCCACATTCTCCAACTATGCCGGTGACATGGAGTTCATTCTAAGGTATGACTGGTTACCCTCCATGAACTTATTTTGATCCATGGATGCAATATAATTTCTTACATCATGAAAAGGTATTACTAAATCATCATACGTTCGATTAGCTTCACTTTTGTTGCTAATTTAAATGGCCGATACACAATTATGGTCCTAGAAATAAAATGGCCGATATATATATTTATCGTCCTAAGCACATACAAATGGCCGATGGAGTGTTGACATCGTGCTTAGAACAAACTCCGTGCAAGTTATTTTTCGGCACAAAAGTTTTGTCGAAAAACAGGAAGGCATGTGTTGACACCCAATTTTGGCATGGTAAAGAACTTAATTAAAATGACCTCAAATGGAGAAGTGGTTACATGAAAGATTTCCGTATTATCGACATGAACATCTTCTAAGTTTGGGCCATCGCTATCCGATCTCATCTCGAGGGCCGAAACTATACTCGAAGTACTCAGATTTTGTATTCAGAGTATTATTCGGCCAATTAAGCCTCCAAGATGGCCTCGTATGAAAAATCTTTCTACATGAACTGTCTTCGCCTCGTCGAAATGATCGATTTTGATATACAAATCATTCCAATCTGAATTCATATGCAAAAGTTACAGCCATCTGAATACAGCCCTATCACGAGCCAAAACTGGCGCGCCCCACCAGACACCGTGTATGATGGGTAGCGCGAATAATAGCCTGTTTTGCACGAGCGATTTGTCCTTTAAGATGACTTCTGATCAAAAAACATTCAACATGAAAGTTGTTCGTCTCGTCGAAACGGCCAAGATTGCTTTTGGGCTCGTTTCCATCGAAAGTCGTTTACCACCTCAAAAATTACCCGCAAGGTCCAGCCAATTTAAACCGAACAGTTTTGGAAAGTTCGAACAAAACCAATCCGAATTTAACTAGGGTTTTGAATGTGAATCCAAGCCTTTTCCTTGCACGGGAAGTCCAGGCACCTCTTATATACCTAAGGGGTGACGGCCGATTGAACAACACACAATCGATCAAATCATCTACCACTTTTTATCTTTTATCTTCTCCCTTGTTCTTCTTCTTCCTCGTTCTTCGTTCATTCTTCTTCATTGCAGAGCGGTGAACCTCGAGGCCCTAGGGGTGATCAGGTCGACCTAGGGCAGCCCATAGCCGCCGCGCGCCCTGACGGGGTCCCTCGCTTCCGGATTGCTTGCGTACCGCGCTTCCGGCAGGGTCTCCTTCGACGTGAGCTGCGGTGCATCATCCTCGGTGTTGGAGGTACACGGTGACGTGTTCGTGTGCGAACAGCCTGTCGAGTTGACCTACCGTTGACATATGAATATTTGTCAAGGCAGATGAACGAAAGAGTCTTAAAAGTTTCCTATGAAAGCATTAATGTTTTAGTATCTTAGCGGTTACAACAATGGTACTTTTTTGATGTGGAACAAATCGAGCTCAAGATTTTGTGATATAACCTAATTAAGATTAGATTTTTGGATTGAGTCTACCGTATCTTTCGACTAAAGTTACTATATTTTGCCCGAGTCTACTATACATACCGACTGAATGTATTGCGATTTTTAGAGGGATATGTATGAAATATTTGGGAATGCCATAGAAAAACCATGGAATTACCTGAACAGAAACAATAAAGAAGGACATAAAAGGAAGAAAAGAAAACTAATAGTAATAAGCACTGCCCGAGAGCTCCTTTTAGCAATACATTGGATTTTTTTAGGGTTAGCAATATGTTGGATTATGATAATCTATCTTTTGTTATTTTTGTTGTTTGGCTAACCAATTGTTGCATGCTTTGGTGGCCATTTTTGTATAAAAATGTTCCAGCCAAACAATATTATTGAAAAGACGGCCATAGACAAAACAATATTTCAGGGCGTTATTAGTTTTTTACCCTCGGTAAAGTACATTAACCCACCGAATTAGGTAGGTGTGGAGAAAAGGCGAACAATGATGCATAACGGCAAAAAATGAAGCGTGAAATTTGTTGTTCGTCTTTGGAAGACATAGTGAAGTTGAGATCTGTTCGACGTTATTAATAAAAACTAAATTTATCTATTCTTACCAAGGATCTAATAATATTTATTTATTTTGAGTAGCATCTATCCGATTATCCATGGGACAGAAAATCAATGGCCAAGATCCATACTATAACGAAATTTGAAAGTTTCAGCGGAAAACTTTAGGGCAATATCAAAACTAAGCGTATATCCTTTATCTCTTGAATAAAGAACTTCTACCGCTCAAATGCATAAGTAAGTTGAAAAAGGAAGAAAAATAAATTTACAGCTGACAATTCATACCTGTAGATAATAAATAAACAAAATAAAGGCCGAAATAAAACCCGGTGGTATAGTAAAAAACAATAAATAAGCAGCATCGGCACGAAAGAAAAAGGAAAGTAAGTCGGAATATAACACATGAGATTCAAAAACTTGGGAGAGACCAAACAGACCTCCTCCTGCGTGCGTTGCCCATCAGCTCTTCCTCCCCACACCACCCTCCCCCTCCTCCCCCTCCCGAATCCGCCCGCGGCACGAATTCCTCTCCTCCAAATCCTCCTCGCGCCCCTCCCGGATTCAGCTCCCTGGATTTGATCCCTCCTCTTGGCGCCCTTCATTTCGCCGGCTTCCTCCTCCGCTGTTGAGTCCGGAGTCGCCCAAGAACTCGGGTTCTTGGCTTCTTGATCCAAACCCTGCCAATTCCGCGGGCCAGCGCGCGAGGGCTCGGTTCCGTGGTCCCCTGGTGCTGTTTGGGCGCCTCAATCGGGGAGCCCGCCCGGGGAATCCGTTTCCCTGACCTAAACGGGTGGGAATTTCTTTGATTCGCGATGGAGCCGGAGCAGCAGCACAACGCCCAGCCTCCGGCGCCCCCTGCAGCTGCGCCGCCGCATCCGCCGCAGCCGAGGCCAGTGGCCCCTATGATGCACTCGGCCAGGTCGTGGCCACTCTCCTTCACGCCTATGTAAGCAATTACTGTTTTGCTTTCACAATTTGAAATCTGCCTCTGTTCTTTGCTCACGTGGTGGCATGAAGAACTTGGCTCGATTCAGGCGTTTTGAATTTTATTTTACCAGTATGATTTTCAAGCAAAAATTGCTCTTACGGAGCCAGGAAGGAATTTTTTTTTTGAGGTTAGAGAAATTTTGTAGTTGGGGATTTGATATGCTTGTGGACGTGATGCTAGTTTGCACTGACCTGTAGTATATTGGACACAGTAGCTAGTGACAAGGCTGTGGTTACTGAATTTGCTATCTGACTTTTAGGGTTTGAATTTAAGTACAAAGATGCTACTTGAAGTGGTATGCATTGAGAAGAACGTTGGCTATATATCATTCACCATGATGCCATGCTTTGCTTGCTTCTTCTTTTTTTGGCCTTAATGGGTCTTGTACCTAGAAGTGCTGATGGAAAGAGTCTGCTGAAAATCTCACTGTTATAGTAGAACCAACTCCGTTCTCCGTTCTTAAGGGAAACAAATTCCATGATGTTATTGGTTACTTGTGGAACCACTTTGTTGCTTGTAACTCATGAGTCACTTATTGCTTCTTCGGTCAGATATAACAAATGCAAGCACAATACTGCATCTATAAAAAGTTTGTTACTGATGATCTGTTTTTTACTTGTATTTTTCAGAAAGCCATTGGTCGAAATTAAGAGTGTTACTCCACCAAAGAGAAAGAAGCAGTGCAATTGCAAAAACTCACACTGTCTAAAGCTGTGAGTTCTCTAGCACATGAGTATTTGTTTTTACAATGCACATCAAGTAATAGAAATATTCAGTTTAAGTGAACCTTTGCAAATGCATTACTATAACATTCTATTGTCATGCATGGAAAGTTAGTGTTGTGTTAGTGATTAACTAAACTGTGTGGTGTCATTTGAAAAAAAAGGAAACCTCCTGTACCTTTTAAGATATCAACTAGATAGGAATAAGATGATCAATTACAGTAACATAGTTTCCTCCATTTGCCTTTTCCTCATTAATGGAGAATTTGTAGGTAGCATATCACATTGTGATGTGTGTAGAAGCTTTGTGTTTCCTTTTGGTCCAAAGTGATGTTTGTAGTCATTGGCAAAAATATGAAGCATAAAATACATTGAGCTTAACTAGTAAGATCAGTTTGTTTTGAAAACAAATTCGTAGGTTCAGCTTTCATGATCTTGTTTTATTTTGGGGGGTCAATGGTAATGTTGCATTCTCAAGTTTATACCAAATTACCACTTTGGCAGTTTTATTGTTTAAACACATTCATATAAAATTTAAGGTTTCTTGTTCTATATGGTTAGTTGACTAATCCCATCCAATTTATAAATGAACTCATTTATTATCAAATTTAATATCTTTTGAATAGAAGGTGCAATCACTAACATGATATTTATTTATTAGGTACTGTGAGTGTTTTGCAGCAGGACTTTATTGCGACGGCTGCAATTGTAAACAATGTGGAAATAAAGTTGAGAATGAACATGCTAGGCAGGAGGCTATTAACAGTACTAAGCTACGGAATCCAAAGGCTTTTCAACCTAAGATTGAAAACGTTCCAAGTGCTCTTAGTGTTCGAAAGGTACATTCTTTCTCCTTGTAGAATGGTTTAAATGCATCATACAACAGTAGAAGTGAGGTTATATAAAATGGATAATTGAATTTGGACACATAAGATATGCTTGTGTCAAGCCTATTAAGCATGCTGTAAGGCTGTAAGTTCGAAGGAATCCTAGAATCAATGCCAAGGACAGTTAGTTTGAAGGCTGTAAGCATGCATGACTATTTGAAGACTATTCGGCATTAACAGTTACTCCCTCCGTTCGGAATTACTTGTCTCGGAAATTGATGTATCTAGAACTAAAATACATCTAGATACATCCATTTCTGCGACAAGTAATTCCGAACGGAGGGAGTAGTTTGTATGAAATGTGTCACAGTAGGCTTCTGAATTACGTGGTATTCATGCAGAAACTCTAGTGGACTATCTGTATCTTAAAGATCATATATTTCCAATTAGCGTGTAATGTTTTTGGTTATACATATAGAACATCCAATCTCTGCCAACTATTAACCAAGTGCAGAAACTAATTTCTCAAGTTTTATGTAAAGATGTATTCGGTTGTTTTTAGTTGCTGCACATGATTTGTTTTTGCCAATCCGATAAAAAGAGGCTGCAGAACAAAATTTATTTATAGAGAAAGTACAGAGACTGGAGGCCAGAAGAAGGAATACTATTCTTGGGTTATAATTCAAATCCAAGGATTATCTCACTGTTTTATCACTCAACTCAATACATCATTATCATTTTGAAAACTGGCTCCACTTCATCCTTGTTTGGCACATCTGTGCCAGACGGTTTATTCCTAGTACCAAGCAACGGTCTGTTTGATGATCATTCCCGTGCCCGAAGGTGTGTAGGCGACCAGTAAGCAGATTTCATTGCAACAGTCAGTAACAGGGACATGTTCATTTATGCCTTTTGGCTTAATCTTAGGCCATGAGTCACTTTCCGTGGACGAACCTTGCGGGTAAAACCTTGGGTATTGGGGCATTATACATTTATACTCTACCAATTTTTTCATTACCGAAGCCAACATTATCAGTTCCGCTTCATCGACCCCGCTTTCATGATTGCTTCCTTTCAGATGGCAACGCTAATAGCTCACATTAATTTTTGCATTATATGTTGATGCCTGAACCGGAATCCCTTTTGTCCTGCCCATCTAGTTAAATTGACTATCTTATGTTCCATATTTTAGTCTGACCTGCCTCTCCTTTTGCATTATTTATTTAATTGTCTTATTACTAAATAATAATTAAGTTTACTGCATTTAAATAAAATAAAATATTTTCTTGTGATTCTTTTTCGTGCACTTAACTAATCTTCGCTGCCATCAGGATGCTGGAGCACCTTCAGTTCCAAAACATAATAAAGGTTGTCACTGCAAAAAATCAGGGTGTCTCAAGAAGTACTGTGAATGCTTTCAAGCAAATATCCTTTGTTCCAAGAATTGTAAATGTATGGATTGCAAGAACTTCGAAGGAAGTGAGGAGCTACAGGCTATAATTCAAGGGGATAATGCATCTGATAAAAATAACATTCAGCAAGCAGCTAACGTCACTCTGAATGGTGCCATTGGATCCTCTGGGTATAAATATTCACCTGTACGCAGAAAAAGACACCCAGAAGACCCCCTTGGTCCAGAGGTAATTTCAAGATTAGCTGGTTGACTGGTTCTGCAACTTCAAATAATCTGACATATTAAATTCTGATCTCGTGTAACACATCTATTTCGTTGGTAGTATCCTTTTATTTCTGCCTGCTCTTGTGTCAAAATCCAGTTGGGTGTACATCCACTTGATCACTGTTACTGATTTTTATCTAACTTCATCTATAAATTTTGATGGCTGGTAATTGTTTCATGTGTTCTAGGCTAACCACTTGGATGCTTCACAAGTTGCTTCTTCTAGTGGACTTGAAGGCTGTATTGGTTATCAGAGTAGATCTAAAATGGTCTATAGGTAAGTAAAAAATTCTGGACTGGTTAATTTGAATACTGGATAACCTCCTTGCAAAAAGAAATAAATGAATAACACCTTGGAACAAAACTGATCCAACTAAGCTCCTACCCAAATTAATATCAACAATGTATATGTCTTTCACTAAAATATTGTTTTCATTAGACCAAGCAAGATAATTTTACTTGTCAATAGTTGAAGTTATTCTTTTACTGCCCGTTCTATAGCTTATGAAAGTAGGTAGTGCCTTGTAAAATTATCGGTTACGAAAGAACAGATGTCAATGCAGTTGTACATTGATGCCTCTTTCGTGCATTGCTTATTAATAAATATGCACTTTTATAGGTCTCCGCTAGCAAACACTATCCATCCTACGGATGTTAATGATCTTGCAAATCATTTGGTGATTGTATGCAGAAAGGCAACAGAAACATTCCTGACAATAGCTGGTAACTTCTTTTATCCTTTTCATTTGACTTGGTTATTTTCATAAATTCCGTTAGCGAGCACTCGAATTAGGCGAACTATTCAATTATTCTTGGTGAAAAGATAAAACTACCTTCGTGTCCAGGAACAGAACATCTTTTCGTTTGTTAAGTTACAAATCTTGATTTTTTTATAACCAAACCTGGCTCCTAAACTAACATGTTAATTGGACACAGATATAGTATTTCAGATGCTTGCATAGTTGTTATAATTAATAAAACAAGAGTGTAAATATTATTATCAGAACTTCTGAGATATCATTTGCATCAGTTTGGCTGCCTGTTTTCTGGTTTCTCATTAAATAAATGCCTGCATGTAGAAGAATAACTTTGCTTCATCGAAGATATATCTAGTTTGAATGATCATTTTGTTGCAAATTTGAAAGAAATAACATTTTTGTTTAAGCACCTAATGCAGGCGGCAGCGCTGTCGATCCAGATTTATTTTGAGCTAAAGTGTCATTCACATTTGCAGATAATAAAGTCGAGATGGAAGTAGAGAGGGGAATTTACACAAATGCTGACCTAAACAATGATAAGATGAAAAACCGTGAAGTTCAGAATGGTGGTGTTAGTCAACCTGATGTTGCAACCCATATAGATCAGCGGACTGCTGGTGATCTCGAATCACCTTGCAATAACACCCAAGAAGACTATAGACCTGCCTCTCCAGGAACACAGGCACTATTGTGTGACGAGCAGGGCACCACGTTTGGATCAGATTATAGAACTTCATTTCCATCAGCATTTCATGATCAGGACACTCCAGAGCTAAGCGCTCTGCAAGAAAAGACGGTGTTGACAGGGTTCCGTGACTACCTCCGGCTGCTTATCACACGCGGGAAGATAAATGGTGAGAATAATTCTGCTAAGATCTTTCTACCCTTCCATATTAATACTAGTCGAGTAGTTCATATCGACTGTGAACAAAATATTTAGCATCCCATTCTTGTCCAGCATGATGTTTCAGCCCAGATCAGATACACTAAGAAATGGTGCTTTCCATGCTAACAAACTTCACTGTAATCCCTAACGTTTTCTTCTGTTGCCTCACATGTACTTGCAGCCAATAACTCAGCCGGGATGACAGAAGCCAACGCATCGTCCGAGCCCGCTATGGAGCTGGACGCTCAAAGAAACCACGGAGCAACCACCGGTCCCGGTGCGAGTTCCTTTCCACCAGAAGCTGTGGAAAGGCCAAAAGCCCCTGGCGACCCCGAGAATCCGAGAGCAGGCGACCCCTCCGCATAGAACTGTTGATTAGAAGGCCAGAGTCAGCGTGACTGTTAAAGTAGTAGGTTCACCCACGAAATCTGTAATAACAAAGCCACCCTATTCATGTGTATATGTGGATAGTTATAGTCTCTGTTGCCGGTTTCCGGCAACCGGCCCGCCGCTGTAGCATCGGTCAGTCCCGAGGTGTAAAAGTAGGCAAAGATAGAGGTGTCCCTTGTGATTGTGTAATTAATTTGATTGATACTAATGATTTTCATATTCTTTTCTTATTATTTTACTCGTAACGTTTGGAGTTGGCGGTGAGCTCGCTCCTCCACTCTTACTAATATGTGGAACCAGTGATTACCACATGCCTTCGACAAGTTTGTTCTTGTACCTGTTTCTCTGCTAGTGATATTGGAGTTATCCAGATAACAGTAGATGATGAAGCTGTTTCGCAAATTAAGTTATCTACACTAGAATACTGAACGATTTTTTCCCCCTGCAATAAGCTTCTGTTCGATTGCTGTTGCATTGACATGTCGGCGTGAACGTGTATCCGGCAACATGAGAACCTGAATTACGCTGGCTTATAGCATAAAAATTGCCTATTTCCACAAAGGGTCCACTGCGCATCCTAAACTCGAGATGCGTTTTCTCCGCTTAAGAAGCGGCATGTTTTTTTTAAGAAGAAGCATGCATGAACATCATGCTATAGCAAGTATCCTTCCAAATTTTGGTGCAAAAATACGACCATATACGTGTCCTGCACGAAAAACCAAGCTGTTATGGTTTGAATGGCATGCTAGTACTTATTTCATGCTGCACCAGATTTTCTTCCCTTCTTTGTACACAACATGTACGGTTGTTTTTTTGCACCAAATTTTGTATGAATACTTGCCATAGCAGCATGATGTTAGACATCTCGAGTATAGGGTGTGAGTGGCTTGTGTGCTACAAACTGTTGCTTGTCCCCTGAGGTTCAGAATCTGAGCTTGTTTGGACCTCTGAACATGAGCTTGTGTGCTCTGTGGATATTTCTATCTCTTGCTGGCAGGTGTAGTCAACTGAATCATTCGGCGCAGTATGTCGGAATCTGTTGCGCTTTCTTGAATCCTTCGGCGCGTTTTTCCATGTCCCCGCTGAACCTGATCACGGCCTATTTTGATCCCCATCTTGTGCTTGTTCTTGTAGAGAAACATCACCAGTGTTACCAGAAGGGCAGAAGTTGAAGCAACTCCTGTGACTAGAAAGAGCCCTGAAAAGCTTTTGAAGTTTAGGCTGCTCGGGCTGATAATGGTTTCGTCGTTCTTACAGGCATGCTCATCTCCAATCCACTTCTTTTCTATCTGAATGATAGCATCTCCCTCTGTTATCTTGAGGATCGCCCTTGAGAAGTCGTCGACCAGAGGGGATCGCTTGGGGAACGCCTATGCAGAAGCATGACATATTCAAAATTTCAAATATACAGTACTAACTGGTTAAGTGATGGCTGTTCATTTGATAAATGAAATGAATATTTCATAATTCTTCATAAACATAAAAATAAAATATGTTCAAGATAAATAAATGCTAACTTTTTGCATGCATATAGTTTTAACAATATTTCATGATTCATAAAACAAGTGCCTATAGTGATGGCTGTTCATGACAGTTGTTCTAATTCCATGGGACTAGCCGTATTCTATAGAAAAACGTCGAGAGGTTGGTATCTATTTAAAACAGATTGAGAGCAGCTTTCTAGTTTATGATTCCTAGATGTCTGTCCTTAACAGTTGAGAGAGGTTATATAATGTGCAAAGTGTATTTTGTATAGGTAACTTACAAAGCCAAAACCTTCAGACTTGTAAATCGGTCCAACCATCGTGTAACCTTTGCAGTGCTTAGCGAGGAATAATTTGATGTATGGTACTTCATGTATGGCGGCAGCGATTCCACCATTTTTGCTCCCTTTATTGAGCGCATCAGCAAAATCATCTGGATTATTGTACGCCCTGATCTTGCTTCTCTCAAAACCAAGTTGTTCTAGTAGTTCCCTAACGTAAGAACTAGTACGGTACCCCATATACTCTCCTCTTTTAAGGAGTTCATGAACATCTGTTTCTGTGGGTTGAAGCTTCTGCACTGTCAGCATCGATGACAAATTGGCGGTATAACTTGATGTAATTACGAGAAGCACAAAGACCCATACAACAACAACCAATCTAGACAAAATACTTTCTATCCTTTCCCCTACAAAATGATGAACAAGCCATCTATCAGCAACTTCAAACAAAACATGAATACTGGATTACTCTTAGCATGACAGTATATTTTTTCATTTATATACTATGCCAAAAATAAACAATTCTGAGATAAAATTTATGGTAAAATACTGCAGAAATGGTCTTACATTTTGGGACGGAGGGAGTATTTAGGAGAAGAAAATAAACTTGAATTATATACTATTGAAAGTGAGCAGGAACTGGTATATAAGAAATATATATTCTTAGCTGCAGTAGTGTCAAAAATGGTCTTACATTTTGGGACGGAGGGAGTAAGAATCAGTTATTAATTCACAATTTTGTGAAACATCTAGTTATAATCTATCATATATGGCAAACGCAATATTTTTAAAATCTGGTTGGATAGTCTGTCATATAAAAATGCAATACTTTTGTTTGGAAATGATAAATCTGATATCACCACTCACTGTCTGCAAAGAAGGAGAAATATATTGCTATCCCAAGCTGGCGGAAGAATGAACCAGTCAATTCTGCATTTCTTATTCGTCGCTCCAATAGCCAGATGACAATTCCTGTGTAGATAAGAAATGCGATGCTTGCAAACCACAAGTCACCAGTTAATGGCTTCAAGAAAATCCATGTGTTCTTATTCGTGTTGTCTTTGACTGGCACAATCATTGCTATCCCAGATTCAGTATAAGGTAGTGTAAAGTCGGCGTAAGATGTTCTGTTGTGCCGGATGGTTATATCCCCAATTGCTGCATCATACACCTGCAAGCATGTTGTTTACTGATGTGTGAGTACAAAGCCAAGTTACTTTTAATCAATGACGTATACTACTCATTGCTATATGAGGTATTGTGGAAAACCATACTACCAGATAATGGCTTCAGTTACATGAAGCAATTCTACCATAGTAGTACCAATCACATCTAGTAGGAGTATTTGGTGGAGAAAGTTGTTTGGAGTAAACAAAGGAGGGTTTTCAAACCATTGTTTTTTTTTGCTAAAACATTATCAAGTTGTACCAATGGGAACAAATGCACATGCGGATAAAAAAAACTATCACCTTAAAAAAATCAAGCATATACAATTTCTTCAACTTAGTAAGACAGTGAGAAAAAAAATTCTTACCCCAAGAGGAACTTGGTAGACAAAATCATTATAGCTCCTATAATTTACTCCGAGTGCATCAAATGATACATATTCATAAGGGACTGCATATGGTAGTTTCTTTATCGCCTCTTCAAATACATCTATCGCATATCCTGTTGCCGTTATCGCATTGGTGACAGGATCCCTCTCCACCTTCATAAACTCAGAATATCCACTTGTCCGTACACCTACTCGGAGCTTCTTCCCGTTGGTAGGAATTTGCCATCCTTTAGGCACTATATGTGTTTGTCCTGGCCAGACCACTGGGTTGAGATCAGGCATAGGGTGTAAATAGGTGTGTGCTGACACATCTTGATTCAGGTTCCTGAATATTCCTTGCTTTGCTGTCCAGTAACCTATTTCTTTTGATTCTCTTCTAACCACATTAATTATCTGGAATGTGGAAAACTGGAGCTGTCTGTTTCTGAGGTCAAAATCACCACTCAAGCCTCTGAACTTGCATTGTAAGATCGCATCCAAGAGTTTTGGACCAACTGTAGAAACACCCAAAGTTCCAACAAAGGTTGAGTTCTTTCTGTATTTTTGCTGCTTCTGAAATGTGGGTCTGGTCATGCGAACCTTTGCTGCTGCTAGTGCCAGGGCCCAAACAGCATCATAACCCCAGAGGCCGTAAATGCTTAGTTGCGACAGTGAGTCGTCTGGGTACTCCTGTTTGTACCTCTTGTTCCATCTTGCAGTGAAATCATTGAGTGCCTTTGATCTAGGTACATGGAACCTCACACCCAATGCACCATCCATTGCGTCAAGAACTGAAGGGCTTAGCGAGTTGACGATATTTGCGATCCCATCCGTCAAAATCCACACATAGGCTTCAGTCATCATTCCGATCTCCTTGGCCTTTTTGAAGAGGATGGAGCCGGTGGTTGGTAACATATGCACAATGTAGACCCTTGTCTGCATTGTCATTAGCTTGTATAGTTCTTGCTCAACTTGGTCACTGCTTGCTGACTGAGATATCACACTGCGATACGGCATAGAAGCTCCGAACTCTTGGAGTGCATCCACCAGGTACGGTATGATGCCTCTACCATAGTCCGTATCTTCGTATATGGGCACAACTTCCCTCCAGCCAAATGCTTTGATGAGAGCAGCAATACTATTCACTTGAGCAGCATCGCTTAATGTTGCGCGCAAAAAATACGGCACATTGGCAGATGAAAGGGCGGGGTTCGTTGCTGTAAGGAGATAACCGGGACTTGACTGTTATTCCCAATATCAGACACGAAAGTGGCCTCCGCGGATTTTTCTGGACCAATGATAGCTTGGACATGGTGATTCTCCAGCAGATCAATAGCTGTGCAATCAATGAAATTAAGAGAAATATTAATTATGAAAGCATTTTTGTAGATTACAGTAGCAACATGTCGAGTGCAAGTAGAAATGCTAATGTATTGACCTGGGTTATATTATCATTTCTTAGGGTGCCGGTGAATTTAGGGATTGAGCGGCATGAAATCCTTGTATAGATCTGCAATTTGTAATTTTTGGGGACTCCTTTCATATGCATTTAAAAACCCAGAATGGCTTAACACTTGCATTGGCATTACGCAATGATAAATGCAAAAGAGAAATACTAAAGAACAAGGAAACTTAGATCCAGTACTTGTTTTCTTTACTCTAACCCCAAAGTGTTCCAGTTATACTATGAGCCAATATTTGCATAGATTTGATTTCACGTCGTCACGCAGACCCATATCTTCCACTTATTCCATATACTTGTTAGTTATATTCAGTGCAAAATCGGTGCAATTAATCCAGTTAAGATAAATATTACTCCCTCCGTCCCACAATGTAAGACGTTTTTTTGACTCTAGTGCAGTGTCAAAAAACGTCTTACAGTAGTGTCAAAAAACGTCTTACATTATGGGACGGAGGGAGTAAATATTAAATCATTTGTGTAGATTACAGTGGCAGCATATCTAGTGCAGGTAGAAATGCTACTCAACCGTCAATCCTGTAACTAGAATGTATTGACCTGCGTTATATGATAATTTCTTAGGGTACCGGTGACTTTAGGGATTGAGCAGCTAGCATAAAGATCCTTGTATAGATCTCCAATTTTTCATTTTACAGGACTCCTTTATGGATGTAAAAAACCCCAAACTTTTTAAGACTTGCATTGGCAGTCACAATGATAAATGCAGAAGAGAAATACTACCACTAAAGAACAAGGAAACTTAGACCCGTACTTGTTTTCTTTACTCTAACCCCCAATGTGTTCCTGTTATACAGTATATTATTACTATGAGCCAATATTTGCATAGATTTGATTTCACCTCATCATAACAGACCCAAATATTACAGCTGTTTCATATACTTCTTTGTTATATATTCAGTGTAAAATCATAATGAACGTACCTGCTGATGCAGCTTGGATATTGCCACCACCATTGGAGTCCCTGACGTGGAGAACCAGCCTGGTCGCGTGGTCGCTGTGGTGGACAGCATAGAAATCCTCCATGGCCATCAAGATGCTGGTACGCGACATCTTGCCCAGCAAGGACCTCATATTCAGGATCACGCCAACGTCGAGCGTGCCCGCTTCGCCCTCTGCGGCATTCTGAGCAAAACTCAGACCGAGGAAGAGGAGCAAAGAACACCACGAGGTGATCCTTGCTCTTGCAGCTGTGTCCATCATCCTCGGAGCTAAACGTTGTGCAGAGTGAGCAGTGCCAATGCTTAGCCTTATAGCACTGGTTTTCAGCTCCCGGTGCAGTGGAGATTAGCATTTTATTCTAAGAAGGTCAAACTGCATTCGGTTCAGTCAGCTCTCAACCAAAATGTCAACCTCCCCGTTCTGGCGTACTTCTCTGGTTATATAAGTATATAAAGGGGGAGATGCCTGTACTTTGAAGTGATGGTATATTGCCACACGCCAGTGAAAAACGGGGAAGTTCCCAGTGTCAGCCACATAAGCATGAGCTCTGTGCTTCCGGTCTGCCGGTGCAAACTCGGAGGAAATTCCCGGTGGCAACCCCAAGAAACATGAGCTGGACAGGTCCCTACATCTGGCTGGTCTCTGGTCCTTGACGAGTGGGGCTCCGAGGAAAAAGTCAGAACTCGCATTCGGCACTGGCAGAGGCTCGTACTTGTTCTGAGATAAGTCTAGTTAGTCAATGACCATCGGGTACTGAGAAATTGCTATTGGAGCAAGGAGCTTATCTAAACCAATAAGGTTCCTGGCCAAGTCGGTCTCCTTGAGCTCCCCCATCTGTTCCGAGCCGTCCGATCCAGTGCTCTGGCTCGTTTGGGCCATTGGATCTTCATCTCACAGCTAAATCTGTTTCACCCTACTGTTGTTTTTCCTAGCCAATGACGGTGGGCTCGTCTCGCGCTTGTTTATGTAAAAGAGGCATGAGAGCCATGTATCATCATTGCATTAAGGGAGAAAACACTTACAAGAAAAAGCCTGACACAAAACAAGAGTGTTCTTCACCCGCCATAATGGTGAAGTTATAAAAAAATAAATCAAATTTGTGCTACATACACATGCGAATGCATCAATAAGAGATACATGCAGCCTCAATAACGATATTGCTGAAAATCTATTCATGCTGGAAATACAATATCTATGGACTCGGCCAACGCCTATTGTTGTAATGTAAGTCACAACCCAGTCACTATGCGAATGCTTGATCTAAAATTATCCGGTTCTCACACCATATTGGGCCTTTGGGGCAGAAGGAGGTTGTAGAACTTGTCCTTCAAGAAGAAGCTCCGACCCTTGCTGTCGACAGACTTCTTCCACGCGCACCACCCACCATTAACAATCTTCTTGAGGTCATCACTACCAGTGTAGTGTGGATCAAGGATGAGAAAAGCACAATCACCGCTGGCTTCGTTGTAATCAACTCCCAGAAGGGTATAAGCCAAAACTCCACCACCTGCATTCATTACCAACAATATTTAAAGGATCAGTATAAGAATAGGTTTATTTATGCATCCAAATGTAGCCAATTTGCATGAATTATCCAACTCGATTAATCTCTCTGTGTCTGCCACCATTTTTATTAATCTTATTGCCATTTCTTGCTTATCAGGAAGTGTTATGCATGGATGGTCCAGAAAATGTAGGTGGCTGAAATAGATGAGAAAACAGTGATTGTCATCAAGATGACCACACGTTTGGAACACAGCTATTGTTAGTCAATCAGCACAAACATTGCCACAAGTTGAAAATGAACATTGAAGCAACCATGACTTATGATAACACTCCATACATTTAGTACTTGTATACACTATTACTTGTATACACTATGCGTGTTATGCACAAGGTTTTGGAGTGATTCTTGGCACTCTCCTCTCATGGACTTCAAATTTCAAAGAATACACTCCTTTGCCACCAACCATCTTATTTCTTTCAGTGAGGTTCTCAACTCCCAGGAGCTTTTTGACCTCTTTCATCTGCCTTTTATCGCCCCAAGCCTTTGACTTGTTACATGAGTTCAGGCAGATTGTTACTCAGTTAAAAAAAGAGCTGGTGCATGGAAATAGAAGACAGCGACCTCTATCAAAATGGTACAAACGAAAAATGTAACATGTTCTATTTTCATGTAACATGAACATGTAACTAATGTTCTATCTCCCATGACGTTTGTAACAAGTTACATTTTTCGTTTGTAACATTTTCTATGTAACAAACATAACATGTTCTATCAAATGAGCTGGCGCATGGAAATAGAGACAGCGACCTCCCCTGCAGTTTTCAGTTGAAAAAAAAGAGCTGGCGCATGGAAATAGAAGACAGCGACTGATAGTCTCATGAAGATAGCACAACAGAAGATGACTTTTGGGAGCAGACACAAACCAACTCAAGATATGCACCAAGTTTAAAAAAGAACTCAAGGTATGCAGTAGGTATGAAATGTCAGGATGAATCTGAAATGCTTTATGCACCAGACAGAGTGAGGTTAATTGATCCAAAGTCCTCAGGAAGATAGCATCCATGAAAATAGGTTTCAAGGGTTTATTTATAATACTCCCTCCGTTCGGAATTACTTGTCACAGAAATGGATGTATCTAGATGTATTTTAGTTCTAGATACATCCATTTTCGAGACAAGTAATTCCGAACGGAGGGAGTACTTAATAACTTATTGCAGCTGTAAATAATGGCATCAAACATAAGTACGTACCAATCATTACAGGAGTTCCCTGGGTTTCAAAATGTATCGCAAGTTCTCTGCATTTCTCAGGAAGCTCATCACCAGATCTCACGTTAATTATCTTGCAACTAGCCTGCATGACCGAATTCTGTTAAGCCAAAACAATAACATATACTCAAAACTCAATACAGGAATAAGAAACATGAGTGTACTGAATTAACTATCTCCTCTCAGATTAACACAAGTAATGATAATACAAAAGCACATCAACTACAAACTGGTGTATTCCTAAAAATTGCTATATACTGGTGTAGTCCTGTGTGCAAGAGATATTGGGGTCAAGTCCCAGTCCTTGTGAAAGGACATTTTGATGCTTTAACTATTTTATTCCAATCGAATAGAACAAATGCACAAGAATTCCAACTCAAGGTCGTTCACATCCTAAGGCAAGGGCATTTCCAGTGCTATCCACTGGTTCGTGCACCGAGTACGATTACGACCAACAAACCTGGAAGACTTAAAGGTACATATTTGGAAGAAAAAAAAATGACCTACTCAGAAATTCAGTTTCTCCCAAAAATATTTTCTGTGGATCAGACACAACATCTGAATTCACAGAATAAAATGGACCACAAGAACATGTAACAAACGAAAAATGTTCAAAAGCTTGAGTTATAATTCAAACTGTTTCTAGGTTTACACGCAACACTGCAAACAAGCTTCAGGGTCAATAGACAATAGGTTATTTAACTTGTAGAGATGATCAAATCAACTTTGTAATCGTTTTGAGGTTACAACTGAACAATTACAGTCTTACAGGGTTAGAGGGCTCAAATCAATCTTTTGCTAATCAATAAAGCAACAAAATATGAGTCTAAACCAGAATATGGTTTCAGCAATCTGAACCAAAATAAGGATCATCAACAAAGCACCTCCTTCCATGCATATTTTAAGATAGGCAACAAACTCATGATTCAGTTATGATGGATTTTGGAAATACCATCATTTGTTGTTGATTTTTGACAAGTTTGGAACACACTAGTAAAGGCATATGTGCAATGCACCTTGAGTGATATTAGAACTTATACAACCTACAGTCCTGCATTGATGTCCTCCAGCAATTCACGAAAATGTATTTCGAACAATGAACATTGTGAGACCATGTGGTTGATGATGCTTATGTTAAGATGCTGGTGCTTGGGTTTGGGAGTAGGATGCCGGTAGGTTGCTAACTAACCGTTGCCATTCTTAGAAAAGAAAACCATCATCAAACATGCACAATTATTCATCAAACACAAAAGAAATATAAACTCACACCAAGAAGTTTGTCAAGCACAAAGCTTAATTCTATCGCTCCAATCCATTCCCGAGATCCAATAAATGATGGATCCTTATCACCAATTTCAACAAGAACTTGCTGGATCTCCCTGATTAGAAAGTTGGAGCAAATATATTAATCAGCCTGGCATCTTAATTTCTGCTGTACCATTGTAGAAAGAGGTTACTATTAAACAATTGTAGAAAAAATAGGCATGATAACATCTAGTCTGTCAAACCTGTGTGAAGGAACATTTATAGACGAATACTGTTGTAGCCTGTACCAAGACATGATTGTTTGTAGAGAACGGTAAGCACATCCCCATCCCTGAAAAAGGAGGATAACAAAGACTTGTCACCACTGGCCACAACAGAAACTCAGAGACTTAAAATCATCCTGAACCATATGATTGAGGTACACCAAAAATAGGTAGCATTCTGAAGCAGCATAAAGTTGTGGAGGAGCAACTCCACCTTGCTGCTACAATGTGTACAACACAAGTGTTGAAGGAACAACATCAATGTGTTGATATGGCAGCAGGAGTTCAATCCAAAACTCCTAGAGCACAAGATCTAGTCAAGATCTTAGATAAGAACAACAAGTTTTATTACAGGTAGTGGATACATAGTCTGGTTACAAATTAGAGGCGAGGACCTGTATATTTATAGGACTTTGGGAATCCTTCATGTCTCACTTCTACTTATGGCTAGAACACTCCAGAAAACATTACTTAAGATCCACCATTCTACTCATAGCTACTCATAGCTAGAAGAAAACAGTAGCTAAGGTTGAGAAAAGAAAATAAATACTAGACTACAATAGAAGTATCTAGAAGTAGCCAAACAGATTTGACATATGATTTTATTTTATTTTCCTCATCTATTGTTCTCATCACATTCTGTTCCAGGCATGCAGTATGCACAATGCTACCTAAATGTACCCGAGTAAAACACAACATAGTCCCCAGGCATTGCTATTATAGTAGAAGGCAAAAGACTCGTATCAATTCAATTTATTGATCAACACAAAAGAGCAATTACATGTTTGGAAAGGCAAATCTTTTAGCCTGAAAAATATCCAAATCAGAAATTTTAGCACTAATCATTTCACACCAACTGGTATAATGCAGAAGTACATGGCACAAATAATAATTAAAAAAAGTCCACCCTGTAATACCAACACTTGATTTAGTGCTACAGCAAGCAACTTTTGACCTATTTTCCGAATTCTAACAATGCAGTTGCAAGGCTTAAAGCAAATGCCAACTACAATGTGCTCTTCAATAATTCGTCATAGCTCTACATGAATGGGCAAGACACCTATGTTACTACAGAATTATTAACAAAACCAAAACATGGAAGTGGAACTAGCAGAGCAATTTCAGGTAGAAGCTTTCCAAATGCAACTCATGAAATACCATTCTCTATGTCCTCCTCAGCTGAAGAAAGGGGCACCAAGCATATAATAAAGCCTATAACAGGAAATTCTCTGACAAATGTTTTAAAACTAAAGTATGATGATTTATTATTTCGGTTACAAATTTAAAGACAAAAACAGGTATATGTGAAGCATTAATTTCAAAGAAAACGAATATCAATTAGAATTGTCTGGTAAAAAAAATAGCAGTCATCAGGATAGGTGCTACCGCAGTCAGATAAGGTACACAATAGGTTGGTTTGAGAAGATTGCAAGTCGTGTTGTATACAGTTTGGAAAGCAACAGTTGGAAAGGGGGGGCACGTGGCAGATATATAGAAAAAATATACTCCCTCCGTCCCATAATATAAGAGTGTTTTTGACACTACACTAGTGTAAAAAACATTCTTATATTATGGGACGGAGGGAGTATATAACAGTAACCCAAGGCATGACACTAAGAAAACCTCCAATAGGTTGTTACTAAGCTCGTCAGTATGTGGGGATGATGTTCATTGTTCAGCCACATCCATGATAAGAACCTCTCCATTAAGCTTGTTACTAAAACCAGGATAACATATATGTTGGTGAGCTGGCATGGGAGACAGGGCTCTTCCTCCTTTCCTCTACCACTTCCAGATCACATGAAATCCTGTGTGGCACGATTTTAGAACAAGTGACATGCACTAGTGGAGTTACTCTAAGAGTACTATTTTCAAAGAATTTGATAACACCATGATAAATATTTGTATATTTCAAACCAGATATTTGAATTTCAAACCTCTGTACAGCTGCATTTTATATGTAAAACAGATAATCTTTTTTCTAGTATATTGTTCTGTTTTTTTTTGGTAAATAAGATGTATTCGAACTAAGCAAAATATACTCGTTGCTTGTGCAGTAGCCTTATGTGTCACATCTAATTCCATCAAATGGACAGGTGTGATTGTCTATCATCTTACTGGGAGAGGACTTCACAGCACTGACGAAAGAAATGCAGAAACCAACATCCAGCCATGGGGTGGGAATCTATAATCTGTTATGAAGGTAAAGGACTATACCTGCTGTCTAAGAACTGAACAAGATACTCAAATAAACCCTAGGTATTTTTTAACATATGTAGACATCAGGCAATAGAACACATACTCCCTCCGTTCCGAATTACTTGTCTTGGATTTGTCTAGATACGGATGTATCTAGACTCATTTTAGTGCTAGATACCTCCGTATCTAGACAAATCTAAGACAAGTAATTCGGAACGGAGGGAGTATATATGAAACAAACTGTCGAGAAGAGAGGTAAGAACTAATAGAAAGAGATCCTGAAGTACAAAAACAAACATTACATTGTCATCGATACCATCATGTAGGTAATGGTAATACTCATATGAACCCTCAATCAATGACATGATTCCTCCAGATACTGCAATAAACATGAAATTAAAAACCATTATCCCCTTACAAATTCAGCAAATTTGTTAATGCTCTCAAAGTAAGAACTTATGTAACTACTAACCACCACTAGATGGAATTTCTTTGTGGACATCTCGAAGCAATGAGGAACCTGGTCTCAATGATAGATCACAGTGGGTGTCAGGAAAATATTTTCTAACTGGAAGACAAGGAACAGAGCAACTAAGAAGAATACAAAATATAACTGATACCACTTTTAGATGAGCTTCTATCTCGCCTTTCCATGGCACCAAAAGTTAGTGCATTAGAAGTCCGTAATAAAGGACGATCCAAGGGCAGACCAAGCCTGAAGTGCAGATTTCTTCTCAGTTCACCTACAAATTTATGATGCAAACTTTAATAATACACCCAAGTACACTGTCATGCTAAGTTAAAACAAGAATTACAAAATACATCAAAGCATCAGAAAAATTTCATACTCTGCTTTTCCTCAATCTCCCCGTATCTTGTGTCGTATATAGCTGTTAGAGGAATAAGCAACCCAGGAGGAATAAAATGGTACGGACAAAGCTTCAACAAATTAAAGAAACGATGTTAGGGACAAAAATTCCATAACGTTTTGCACGCAATCAGATATATATTAAATAGCAAGAAAATCATGGCTAATGACGCAAATATATTATGTTATTGTATGGAAATTACAACAATAAAATATCAGAACAAGAAAACTACCCTATCCACGGAGCTATATGTTACTCCCTAAAGGGCAGCCTGGTGCACGTAGCTCCTGCTTGCGCAGGGTCCGGGGAAGGGTCCGACCACTTTGGGTCTATACTCTATAGTATGCAGCCTTTCCCTACAATTCTGCAAGAGGCTGCTTCCAGGACTCGAACCCGTGGCCTCATGTTCACAAGGCAACAGCTTTACCGCTGCGCCAAGGCTCCCCTTCACATGTTACTCGAACTAAAACCACGATAAGAATTATGGAACGGAGGGAGTAGTTGATTGTTTTTTCTTAACTTTTTCGATTGCATTAGAAGTAGTGAATTGCAAATTTCATGCTGCTTTTCACTAGATTGGCAAGTGTGGCAACAGGACACATATGTTGTACATTTCTTCACGACATAATTGTGAAAACTTGATAGCACCTAATATAATTGTGTGGATTGACATTTGAAAGTTGGGTAAAGCCGTAAAGGACACTTGGCCTCATCTACCTACTGGCAGGGCCTAATCATATTCCACTGCTCATTCGCAACAAGGTACATACATGGTGCCCTTTAACAGGGAGAACTGACTATACCCTTGGAATAGAACCTCTGCATCCTAACAAACCCTACCCTTAGCATCCTAAACTGAAGTGTTCTCTGCCTAACAAGATGATCTCTATGAGTCGAGGCTGCTATGTGCTTGGTGCATCAGCCAACCTACTACTAAATATTAGCACACAATAATATTCAGTTCAGAAATGAACTAATAATAATCTAGAACCTAGTAAAGTTAAGGGCACAATGGCTGATAAAAAGGCCTTAGAATAAGGAGCATTTGCCACACCACCAAGCATCCATCTGGAGCTCAATCTTACTACACTCTTACAGATGCATACATGCCCCAAAACTCACAAGAGTCCAACCAGGGCCTATTCAAGCATCGATGCTCAAGTTTTGATTCCTTTTCTCAGTAACAAGGGCAAGAAGACAACATTTAAGCAGCTGTCACCTTGCAGAATTGGGATGTGACCAGAGAATTCATATTTACAACCTCTTTTTCTAAGATTACTATTACCTCTTGATTCTAAGTTTCTAAAAGCCCCACTTGTAGTTTTGATATAGCTTTCAGTATGTTGTAAAGAACCTTTGCAACTCCATAACATGCTGCCATTTTTCATATCATATCTTGAGATTTTGGACCTAACTAGCCCTTTTTTACTTTTATCTGAATTATTAGGTTTTTAAAAGCGTTCAAATCAAATAATCTATTAGAGTTAGAGTTGGTGACCTTACACATCCCTATGGCAATATCTTGGCAGCATGCTGAAGTGGCACCTCCAACATTTCATGTTGTTCATTTGTAGTATGTAGTAAAACGGTAGGTATCCGTTGCCCTTCCATGTGCATATACTAATCGATTTAGTGATGACATCATGGCAATCAGAGGACTTATGAATCACATACCTTAGGCTGTTGAGTTAAGAGCTCTGAGACGATAGCCTTCTTCATAATGCTTAGCTGATCAGCTAATCCCGGAATAACTAGCTCAGATACAGCAACGGCTACAGGAAGATCCATAGAACTGTAGCATAATATATCTAGCTTCAGGTCGATTACTCTCAGGCTAGCTGGTGCTGGTGCTGGTGCTGATATAAAATATGAAAATACTTTCAGTGAGGAAAGCGAAAAGTGATTCAAAAATGAAGGGGGGAAGAAATGTACTCCATCTGTTCTGCGACCTGTTATAGAATACTTGTACATGGCAGAGTGAACTTCCTAGAGTGAATATGTGAAATGCCAGGCAATGTGTGTACCATCCCCAGACCGAAAAATGGACTTGCCGACTGAAAAAATGGACTTCCCAACAAAAAGTAAACTTTCTGCATGGACAAAGTGAACTTCTGTTTTCTATTTTGATACAGCAGGCTGCTGCAGTTCACATAGTGAACCACTGTGGTCTGAAGAGCAAACTTCTACTCCCTCCGTCCCATAATGTAAGACGTTTTTTGACACTACACTAGTGTTAAAAAAACGTCTTACATTATGGGAGGGAGGGAGTATTTTATATCGCGAACTGCACCAGTTTGCAGTGGACTTCTTTTTTCGCTTAACATAGTGAATTGTTTGCTGTCCTCACCGAATGGTCTTCTGTCCGTAGAAGCAGAAAACTGCGGCAGGAGATGGGGGCGGGAGCCAGCGTGCTGGAGGAGCTAGAGGAGGGGCGGCGACAGAGGATGATAGTTCACGGTGGTGCGCGACCTCTCACCTGGCGATCGCGATGCTGGAAGATGATGCCGGGGCTGGAGCTCAGGACAGCGACCAGACTGCAGGGTTGCGAGCAGGGGAGGGGCGATTGGGGAAGTGGTGTGGCAACGGGAGCCAGGGCGGCGCGGGGGGGAGGCTGGCGGGGGCACCAAGAAAGGGGAGGGGCGGTGCGGCAGCAAGGAGGTGAGCACGGGTGGATGGAGAAGGGCGGCGAGGAAGTGTACCAGCAGCATGCGAGAGGATTGGGAAGAGTGGTACAGTAGTAGATCGGCGGCACACGGGAGGAAGCAAAGGGGTGGCGCAGGAGGATGGTGCGGTGGGCAGTGGAGGTTCAGGGGTCAGGCTATTTTCACAGGATGGTGGTTGTAGAATAGGTATTCTATAACTCAAGGGGTGGTTGTATAACAGATCCACGACCATGTTGAAGATGTAAGGTGTAGTGACCGACGTCTCATATACTCCCTCCATTCCAGAATATAAGGTGTATTGGTTTCTGTGCAAGTCAACCATTTCAATGTTTGATCAAGATTATAGAATAAAATAACATCTGTAATACCTATAATAGATAAAATATGAAACTACTTTCATGATGGATCAAATGATATATAAATTTCCTATTGTGGATATTGGTGTATTTTTCTAAAAACTCGGTCAAACATGCACTCGTTTTGACTTTGAAAAAAAAAACAAATACACCTTATATAAAGGAACAGAGGGAGTATTACATACTACATTTAGGGAAAATACTTTCCACTACCGGGTGTAAGGTGTACTTAAACCCATGTTTCATATGCTATGGTGCGATACTATATATATATTACTTTGTCATTCTAAATATACTCATATACTGTGAATATACTATACTAGCACAATGCATGTACATTGCTACGAAGCCATAAAAACGGTAGTGAAGCCACCGGTTTATAGATCATCGAAAGGCATTGCTATCCTACGGCCATTCCGCGGTTCACTATAAAAAAGGGAGCAAAAGGTGCAAGTTTTATTTTTCAAGAAGCAGAATATTTTTATAAGAAAATAGTTACCTGGAAAGTACTTTAACATAGGGGCAGGGGAGCCAGCCTTTGAGATGTTCAATGATTGATTGGATAGGACAGTTATCTGAATTGCATCTGCATTCTAGCAAATAAGACATTCAGAGAATTGCGATTAAAGATTGTCACATGATATAGAAATATAAATCAACATCGTCACACTATACAAATTCAGTAATTAAAGGCATCTCCATTCGGCAGATGCCTTACGACTTTCCATATAGTCCTTCAACCTTCATAAAGTTTATATTTCCAAACAAGTCATCCATAAAACTGAAAACAGATTTTCATGAAATATGTGATTCCCAAAATATTTTATATTAAAGATAGGTATACTGAATTTTTTTTACGGTGGGTATACTGAATTTCATGACTGAATAACAGAAGCAAGAGAGGTAAGTGACCGAAGATGACAATGTCTCACAATTGACATTGGTCATTAGAACTACAAAACAAGTATAGCAAGTTTAGTTTAGTGCAGCGTACCTCCCTTATTGAGGAGAGGTCATGCCTCTTTGTCGGTAAGAATTCTGAACAGGATACAATTTTGGCACTGCACTTGTTTGTGTTTGTGTTGATGGGTAGTTGGGAAACAGAATTCAAATTATTGCCATGTAAGATAACTGAATGGTGTGATTCGTCAAATGTTGCAGTCGGGCCTTCAACTAGGTAAGAAACATGAGGACTTCTGAGGTTAGCAGCTGTAGATTCAATGAGTGAAGAAAACCTCGCTTCAATGCCTACAAAAGGTAAGAGATAGTAAAGAATTATGCCTTCCATTCAGTAGAGAACGATTTATAGCTCCTGCTACAATTTCCTTTTTGCTTTATAAGAAAATACAATTTCAATAAAAATTGGGAGAAGTGCTGCAAACATGATTGTTATGCCTTAAAAAATCTCTCTACATATGTTCGCATCATTTTGTCTGCAAGTGCACATTCGCCAGGCCCAAGAAATCACAAACAATTTGGTATATAAACAATGGTTTTGTTTACAAATTGAAGAATTGCATGGAAAATAACTATTATTATGCAGCTATTCAAGTATAAATGTCAGAGCATTATCCTAACAAATGCAACCCAAGAAGTAAAAACAAATGAGTTGCTGGGTGACCAAATTACCAAAGGGTACATATACTCAAAATTATCCATATGATACCTGAGAAGAAAGGAATTGCATCTTACATATCAACCCTTAGTTGTTTATTTCGCAGTTCCAAATTATAAAATAAAAATGCAACAATCCTGGCATTTTACCAGTATCCAAGAAAATCATGGAACTGGAGATAATACTAGCATGATATTTAAGTACGGAAAAGTTAACTTTTCAGCACTCAACCATGTGAAACCAAAGCATAATAAGCACTAATGAACAACAATTTTACAACACGAAAGCATTGCATACTTCAGATATATGGCTTCACACTCGACACATGCAAAGTTAAGCTAAAGACTTGGATAATGAAAATTCAGAAGGACGGTAATTTGACATTTACAGCTGAGGAAGAGAAGGGGGCACTTACCAGACATCGTCTCATCCGAAGGAAGATAGAGTGGCAGCTGCAGCTGCAGCTCGCAGCGCAGAAGGCAGCCCTTCTCCAGCAGCGACCTCCCCGGCTCATCCCCCCACAGCACCTCCTGCCCTTCCACAACTTCTGACCCGCCACTCTCCGAAACAAGAAACCGAATGTCCCCGGTGGACGCATCCACGCAGCCACCAACCATGCCATGGCTCGCCCTTTCGCCGAACAGCCGCTCCCTCAGCTCCCCGGCCAGTTCCAGCGCTCTGCCGGCATCTGACTCGAAATTCGCGCTCCCGACGAACAGGCCCCCCACGATGTCGAACCCCCTCACGAGTAATCCACGGATTTCGTCTGCACGAACAGCAGAGATTGTCAGGCGAGGAAGACCATGAGTGGGACTAGCTGCTGGGGATCCAGGACTCGAAGTTAGCGGGGTGGGTGTGAGAGACTTGCCTGCTTCGTGGGGAAGATCGGGGGAGAACGGGCCGTCGTCAGACAGGAAGCGGAGGCAGCGGAGGGCGGCAGCGACGGTGACGGGCTGGAGGAAGCGAGGGGAGCCGACGAGCCAGAGGAGGGATGGGAAGGGGGAGGAGAGAACGGACTTCTTAGGGCAGAGGAGGCGGAGGGCCGGCGGGCGGCGCGAGCCAGCGGCGGCAGTTTCCATCGGCGGCGATCGGGAGGATGGAAACGCCGGTGTCTACGCTTCGCAAGAGCACTGTGACTTTCCTTCCGAGGCAAGACCCGGTTAGGCCTTCTTCAGTTGGGCCGCTGTCGGCCGGCTTTGGGCCAAATCCCCAGGCCGACGCGGTTTGTTTCCCCGGCCAGCGAAAAGCGTCTCGCCTCCTCTTCCCTTCTCTCTAATCTCGAAGAGGTTAAGTTTTCCTAAAAGAAAACTAAGGTTAAGGTTGATTTGAATTCCTCAATTCTTGGATTCTTGGATACTGCCCAATTTTCCTATTACTAAACAGTACAACGGAGCCACCACCGAGCCACCACAGCGCTTTGCTTTTTTTTGAGACAAACCACATCGCTTTGCTGTTCGCAGCCGTTAGAATGTACCGTTGTACGTCCCAAATTGCCAACTTATCCCGCTGATTCGTCCAGCCCAACATTTTTGGGCTGCTGCTCCGAAGAACGACCTGGGAGCCGTCACATGAACTGGGCCGATTTTGACCACATAAGCCGCTGATTAGCTGATGGGCCGCTGTGCTCTGCAAGCCTGATTTCGTTGGCGCACTGTGGAGGTGCGTATTGCTACTTCCTTTTGTTTCGTTTCTTTCATCTGGACTTCGGTTATCTCTTGCCTACTAGGGTTGATTTTGCGGCTGACCCATGCCCTCCTCTTTCATCGATGATGTTTTGTCACTGTCGTCGTATTACTTAGCCATCTAACTTGTCGCTCTTGTTAAAGGAACTATCGAGCTCAATGATGCGAATTGCTCTATTGGAATTGGATTTGGCATCAGGCCGAAAAATGTTGCAGCTTCTCAAAGTGCTACTCCCGGCCTCGATCTGTCTCCACAATCTGATTGGTTTTGATCCATTCTGCTTTGTTTTCTCTAGGTCTGTAGGCCGTGTCAGGATCAGGGGCTACGCATGGACACCTCCAGGCGAGTTTCATGCCGCTCCATGCCTCCATGGGAAGTTGATGCAGGTGGATTGCAAAATCCAACCCCCGGCCTCGCAACAAAGAGGATAAAGCACCGATCACACTTAAAATATTGTCAAATAGTGCTTTTCGATAGTACTCGAATAGTGCTTTTCCTATGTGTCACTTTTGATAGTATGTTAGATTTTTTTCCCTTAGGCTTCCACTAAAATTTTGCACTGAAATCGAAGAACTGCCTTACTGGACCTATCTTAGATTTTTTTCTTAAGTTTGAATTGAAAATTTTGTACTGCTCCCTTTGGTAAATTTAAGAACTATCTTGCTAAAGTTTTATTATGGTGCCGAAGAGTTAACATGTAGCCAATGTACAGAAAATGCATGTTCGATGCTCCAAAGATACCAAAGAGGAAACAGTCAATCAAGAGACAACGAGTGTTGTACTACATCTTGATCAATAAAAATTCAGAATGAATCTATAGCCGCATTGCATTGGCACAAGTAATCCTTGATACCAAACACGAGCAAATAATTGAGTTTTGACTTCAGCTTATTATGCTGGAGATGACTTATTTTCTGTTTTTACTGTTGTCGTTCACCAAGGTCTTTGAACAACCACTTTACTGAGGTCAATGGTAGAAGACTCATATGAATTTGTATTACTTCTTAGGTAAAATATATTATTTAGAGATACTTGTGCCATTTATATCTTTTCAAATATTTTGCATGTCTTAAATAGATGAGGGCAACAACACGTGCTTCTATGTTCTTGAGCGGGTGTGTAGACCTTTTTCTAACTGCTCACACCGGGTCATTTTCACCTCCAGATAGAAATTGTGCTACATACTTGGATACACACATACGCATGCAAATTGTACTTCATTTTTTTCAACCAACAAATCAGAAGCAGTAAAACTTCCCATCAATTTCGGACAATAGATACAAACCCATGTGACTTTTATAATAATCATATTTCAACCCTGCATAATGGTACTAATCATGTACTACATTCTTACTGTATCTATATTTGTACACAATTAGATCATGTCATCAAACGCGAACAGGGCGCGGCAATGCGCGCCATCATGGTCTAGTGAAATCACTAGTTAAGGGATACCCTTTGTAAAGGTCATCATCACCTTCTCTAGTGGTGACAAGTGGTGTATTGTATGCGTGACACTTGTCATGACCTCGAAGTTCTGCAGGTTTTTTTTCATAGATTCACTTTCTAAAAACATTTTATCTCTTCAACCGTGCATCCAAATCATAAACCATTTTCATCGTTTGGTTCTCGAGTCATGATATTCAAAACTAGATATCATGTTAATAGATTCGGATGAACTTGAAAAACTGAAAACTGATTTTTTTAAAGCGTAAATAGATAATAAACCAGAACACAAAAATAGAAACAGGGAAACCAAAAAATACGAAAATCAAATTGTTGGGGAACGCAGTAATTTAAAAAATTTCCTACGCACACGCAAGATCATGGTGATGCATAGCAACGAGAGAGGAGAGTTTCGTCTACGTACCCTCGTAGACAGTAAGCGGAAGCGTTATGACAACACAATTGATGTAGTCGTACGTCTTCACAATCGACCGATCCTAGTACCGAAAGTATGGCACCTCCGCGATCTGTACACGTTCAGCTCGGTGACGTCCCACGAACTCACGATCCAGCAGAGTGTCGAGGGAGAGCTTCGTCAGCACGACGACGTGATGACGGTGATGATAATGCTACCGGAATAGGGCTTCGCCTAAACACCGATACGATATGACCGAGGTGGATTATGGTGGAGGGGGGCACCGCACACGGCTGAAAACAATCAACTTGTGTGTTCTAGGGTGCCCCCTGCCCCCGTATATAAAGAAGCAATGGGGGAGGCCAACCGTCCCTAGTGGCGCGCCAAGGGAGGAGGAATCCTCCTCCTAGTAGGAGTAGGATTCCTCCTTTCCTAGTCCTACTAGGAGGAGAAGGGGAAGGAAGGAAAGGGAGAGGAAGAGGAGAAGGAAAGGGGGGCCCTCCCTAGTCCAATTCGGACTCCCTATAGGGAGGGGGCGCGGCTGCCCCTTGTGGCATGCCTCCCCTCTTCCCTATGGCCCATGAAGGCCCAACTTTCCCCGAAGGGGTTCTGGTAACCCTCTGACACTCCAGTTTTCTCCGAAATCACTCGGAACACTTCCGGTGTCCGAATATAGCCGTCCAATATACCAATTTTTATGTCTCGACCATTTCGAGACTCCTTGTCATGTTCGTGATCAAATCCGGGACTCCAAACTACCTTCGGTATATCAAAACACATAAACTCATAATACCGATCATCACCAAACATTAAGCGTGCGGACCCTACGTGTTCGAGAACTATGCAGACATGACCGAGACACGTCTCCGGTCAATAACCAATAGCGGAACCTGGATGTTCATATTGGCTCCCACATACTCTATGAAGATCTTTATCGGTCAAACCGCATAACGATATACGTTGTTCCCATTGTCATCGGTATGTTACTTGCCCGAGATTCGATCATCGGTATCTCAATACCTAGTTCAATCTCGTTACCGACAAGTCTCTTTACTCGTTATGTAATGCATCATCCAGCAACTAACTCATTAGTTACAATGCTTGCAAGGCTTAGAGTGATGTGCATTACCGAGAGGGCCCAAAGATACCTCTTCGATACACGGAGTGACAAATCCTAATCTCGATCTATGCCAACTCAACAAACACCATCGAAGACACCTGTAGAGCATCTTTATAATCATCCAGTTACGTTGTGACGTTTGATAGCACACAAGGTGTTCCTCCGGTATTCGGGAGTTGCATAATCTCATAGTCAGAGGAACATATAAGTTATGAAGAAAGCAGTAGCAATAAAACTGAACGATCATTATGCTAAGCTAACGGATGGGTCTTGTCCATCACATCATTCTCTAATGATGTGATCCCGTTCATCAAATGACAACACATGTTCACGACTAGGAAACTTAACCATCTTTGATTAACGAGCTAGTCAAGTAGAGGCATACTAGGGACACTCTGTTTGTCTATGTGTTCACACATGTACTAAGTTTCCGGTTAATACAATTCTAGCATGAATAATAAACATTTATCATGATATAAGGAAATATAAATAACAATTTTATTATTGCCTCTAGGGCATATTTCCTTCACAAATAAAATAACAAAACCAGAAAAGCACGGTTGTGCTTTTCAGAAAAAAAATGGAGGAGCTTTTCACTTTTTGGGAGGCACATATGTGATTCACGCAGAAGCATGGTTATGCTTCATCGTGAAGCACACATATGTTTTTCACTTTTTGAGAAGCACAGATGTGCTTCCCGAAAAGCACATCTCTACTTTTCACTTTTCGATAAACATATCTGTGCTTTTCACATTTCGGAAAGCACATATGTGCTTCACACCGAAGCACTGTTATGATTTTCCCTGAAGCACACATGTGCTCGCGCAAATATGCTTTCCAAAAACACGATTGTTCTTGACTCTTAAGCACAGTTGTGCTTTTTCACACGATTTGTTTCATGCAAAGAAAAATAACATGAAAACCTAGAAAGTGTCAAGAAATATCCAAAAACCCTAAAAACGAAACACGAGTGAGAAAAATGTATTCACAAGGATGCGCCAACGTGCGACACATGGTTGCATGGGTGCACCATCTCACGAGTTGGAGCATTCCAAAAGCATACATTAGGTTCCCCACAAAAGGGTACCCGCTAAATAGTGGCCCCATTTTTCTTGGGTTCATGCAACCATGTTTGACTTGTGTGCAGGGGGTGAAGCCAATGGGCCTACCATGATGCACAATCATCAAGGGCTAAAATCCTTACTATACTGCCTATCATCTTTGTGAGCCCTAGTGCTTCATCCATGGCCATGTTGTGTCTATTACGATAATCGCCAGGCCCGGTCCTAGGGGGGTGCAACCTGTGCGGGCGCACAGGGCCCCTAGGTTTTTGGGGCCTCAAAATTGTTATGCAGTTTGATTAGGCTTAATAGCGATAGATGGGCCTCTTGGTGCCCCTAGGTTTTTGGGGCCTC